CTCAGCAACGTTGTGGTTGTATTTCGCTTAGTAACCTGCCATGAAAATTATAGAAGGCAGAAAACAAAACGTTAAAACTCTGTAACATATAATTTTAATGGCTAAGCAAGAAAAATATATGGGAGGCGGTAAGGAGACGCCTAAAACAATTAAGCTCCACTACCAGTCTGGGAGAGGCTGGCCAGCTACCCGTGAGTATACCCATCCCCTCATTCAAAACTCAGCAGCTTATACATGGGTATCAGAAAGCTGAAAACAGTAAAAGAAACGGGCATCATTCTTATGACCCCGAAAGAGTCCCCGATTCGGCAGCATTGGGTAGGACGAGTACGGATAGGTTGCTAAAATCTCAGGAACAATGGAAGCTCCCTGGATTGCAAAAAACTAAGGTGATCATCTGTACCTACAATGTGCGTGCCCTCGAATTCGAGAACTCGATAGAAGACTTGATCATGCAAGCGAGAAAGATGAGGTACTACGTCATAGGCTTGGCCGAGATGGGACGACGCCACCCATTCAACGCCGTCTATGACACCGAAGAAGAACTGTTCATCGGAACATGCGACAGTAGAGGAGTCGGCGGTGACGGCGTTCTCGTCAAAATGAGTTTATCCATGAACGATTTATTCAAACAATTAACAACCCGAATCGGACGTTTACGATTAAAAAGATGTGGATCAATACCGTCTTTAACAATCTTCGTCGTTTACGTGCCGACATCAAACAATGACGAAGAAGAAGTCGAAGCGTTCTATATGGACATGGAGAAGTAGCACAGAGAAGACCATACATTCTTCGAGGTCATCGTTGGGGATTTCAACGCCAAGATTGGACCAAGAAAAACGTCTGAAGAACGTCACATTGGGATCCACGGAATAGAATGGAACGAAAAAGGTGAGCGGCAACCTGAGTCTATGATAACAAAAAGACGTTCCATGGTAACTCGCAATTCCAGAAGCCCAACGCCCAACGTGGGATGTGGGAGCCTCCCAATGGAGAATACTAGAACGAAATAGACCGCCTAATAGTAAACGAAAGGTTTTATCTAACCGATGTTGCTGTTGTTCTAAAATTCTACACTGAATCAGACCATTGTGTGAGATTTCATTTCTCACAGAAGCGAAAAAAGCCGCTAAATCTGATAAACGAAGTCCCAAAACCATCATGAACTGGGACTTCTTCAATTCACCAGTCGGCTGTCGAGAAGGTGCCATTGTCGATAGCACCGACGAGGAATAAGATCGGCTCACTCAACATCTTCATGTTAGCGCAATGAAAGCTCAGCGTTCGAAAGTCACCAAGAGACGTCTGTCTCCAGAAACACTTGAGCCGATACCCCAACATGGAATCGCACGAACTGCAGGCAACCGCGAACTTCCGAACTTGCAAAACAATGCAAACAGGCGATAAAAGAAGATCTTAAAAAGAGAAGAGCAGCAGTAATGGTCGAAGCTGTAGAGGCTGAGAAAAGCATTCGCAAAGCCCACCGAATTACAATTTGTCAATTCCAAAACCGAGATGATTGCACTCTGAAGCCCAGACGGAGCATTCACAGCATCCAGAAAGGGAATGGAGAAAATCATTCACGAATACTACTCGGATCTCTTCGATAGCCACGTCCACCTTCCGCCACATGAAATAAAGGAGGATGGATATGTTGTACCACCGGTTCTACCTTCCGAAATCCGACATGCGATTTCGTCGGAGAAAAATTGAACAGCACAAGCTCCCAACAGGATATGATCCGAACACCTGAAGAACCTTACGTTAGTCCTCGTATACAAACTGGTTCACACGCCACCCGTTTGAATGTAAGGTTCCTGTTCAACGGAAGACCAGCAAGACCGTGCTAATGTTCAAGAAAGGTGACCTCCACGATATCGGCAACTACCGTCCAATCTGCTTGCTGTCTGTCGTCTACAAGCTTTTCACTCAAGGCATCCCAAACACGACTGGCAAAACACTGAACGAAACACAGCCATATGAGCAAGCAGGGTTTCGAAAAGAATTTAGTACGATGGACCACATCCACGCAATATCAGGGCTCATTGAAGTGTCGCGAGAGTACGAAAGACGGCTCTGTCTCGCTTTCATCGATTTAAAGAAGGCCTTTGACTCAATGAGATAGAAACAGTCATGAAAGCCCTTGATAGTCAAAAAATCCCTACTCAATACATAAAGATTCATCGTAAGCTGTACAAAAATTTCACAACCAAGATATCACCATTCTACAACGATATTCACATCGACTTCAGAAGAGGGGTTAGGCAAGACGATACCATCTCACTAAAATTATTTACCGCCACCCTCCAGAACGTCATGCGAACATTGGAATGGGATAATATGGTAGTGAAAATCGATGGTCGGCAGTTAGGCCACCTTCGCTTTGCTGATGACATCGTCCTTATAACACCAAACGTTTGCCAAGAGGAACGTATGCTTGACGACTTTGATAAAGCTTGTAGAAAGATTGGTCTTCGAGTAAATCTCACAAAAACGATGTTCGAGAAGAACGGATTGGTTTCGTATGCTCCATTCACGCTCAAGGGAGCGAATATCTGCGAATGCTCCCGTTATGTCCATCTACTTTAGGAAACCAACATGATGAAGAACTTTGCTCCAGAGTTGGGCAGAAGGAATCGAGCGGCTTGGGGAGCTCTCAAGAGCATCGAGAATGTAGTGAAGAGGACAAGGAACACCCAACTGCGTGCCCAACTTTTCGACTCAACGACTCATATCCTGCGTTAACGCACGCGTCAGAAATCAGGTCACTGTGTAAACAGGATGAAAAATCACTCAGCGCAGTCGAAATGACGATGCTAGGAGTAACCCGTTTCACGCAAGTAAAGGAAGAAATCCGAAGCTACGGTCTGCATCAACGATCAAAAATCGAAGATGACGAACTGTACGCCAAGCAGTCGAAGAGAAGGTGGGCCGGACACGTAATGTGCATTAATGACAGCCGGTGCGCAAGAGAAATTGCTGACTGGATTGCTCGGGATGTTAAACTCACTGTACGAAGAAGACCACCGATGGCAGAGAAAATCCTAGAAGAAAGATATCATGGTCAACGAGTCCCCGGAGCAAACGGAATCCACTGGGCCACTCTTGCACGCGATAGGTAAAAATGGAGCATTTACTGCCGCCCGCCCGAGTAACTCGACGATCAACGGGACTACAGGTGATACAGGTTACAGGTGAGGCAACAAACCTAAACGGAGAAAGAAAATTGTAACAGAATCAGAAACAGGCAACTATATCAAAATTTTTTGCATCACACAAATTTTACCTTTTTATTAACAATAATTTCACTTGAGATCGCTTCCAATCGTTCCCTCACAGCTTTCAGATTCACCCAGATGTTGTTAGTATTAAAAATTCTGCAAGGAATTCTCGAGTTTATTACGGAACAACAACAAGAAAAGAGAACAAGGAAAGAAAAGTTATGAATCATATGAGTGTTTAGTGGTTGATGCTTGCTCCTTATTTATGTTTAGTATGAATAGAATTACCCTTGCAATCGCTTAGATGACCCCAGTTACGCCAAAAATAACAGCTTTCTATTCGTAGTCTTAGTGACAATAAACAGACAAGATAGAAAATTCTTCACCACAATTGAAAATTAACATCTCCGCAAAAACAGAGGAGATATTGATAAAAATACACCGACTTAAATGTTCGAGTGGAGCAAAACTCGTCAAGACGCTCTGGAGGAACTTGAGGAATTTCCAAATGCATCAATTGTCCAGCAATGTCAATCAACGTGCCACCCTAAGAAATAAAGTGTTCAATTGAAGCTATTTGGTTTGGAGATCTATTTTCAATACATAGAAGATAAGTTCGAATGAAAAAAAACAAAAGGGTAAAAGACTGAGCTCTCAGATTTGATCAACCTTTGAGGGATACGCCATGAGTTCGACTTCAATAATCATCGTTAGAGGTGATTCAATGCATATCTCGCCTATGCAATAACGCAAAGTGGCCTACTAATGTATCGAGCCAGTGCTACCATCCTCTCCGACAAGTCTGGTACCAATTTGCCGACCCAGGAGCGATGGCGGACATGATGAGCATTGTGCTCGGTTTCGAATACGTGTGTATTTCAGGACGCCTTTAACCAGTGGGCTACACGCGCCTTTTTGTAGCGACACGATGTTAGAAATAGCATAGTTATGATTGTGTCAAATAACGATATTTCTGCCGAAATCTATTCCATTGGCACAACCGTTGTGAATGAAAGGCGGGAATTTTTTAATGTCTGCCGCCTGCTGAGTGAAATTTTAACAAAGAAAGAAATTTCGTTCGCCAATCGCACGAGGGCTACCTCGTATCCTGCGTAACTGGAGGATGAAATCAGGACACTTTGGTGCTTTTGGAGTTCTGCCTCAAAATGCAGTGCTCCGGTATACTACTCGATTCGTGCGGTACTTCATTCCAGTCGATTCGTCTCGATGAGACGGTTATGAATTCCAACAACGTAAGAAGAAGAAACTGATGCTCGACTCGATTTACCAAGGCTCTGATAGAGGCAAAACTGCCAAAAGGTCACCAATAGTAAAAATTTGTAACACTTGTGTGAACTTGTCAATGAACTCAATATTGATTGTAAAAACGCCTTGCCATTCCACTTCTAATGCGTAATTTTTGCTTTCTTCTTCTACTTTCTTACTATTTCCTTTCTTCTTCTTTCATTTACCTTTATGTCGTTCTCAGTCTTTGCTGTGCATTCCATAATGTACTCGACAGCTTCATCGCATGCGAACTGAGCAATTTTTAAATCTAATGTGGCGCCACTGTTGTCGATATTTGAAACGAACATTATATCACGCCCTTAATAATACAGTTAAGAAGAATGGAGCATTATCCATAATAGTAGGGACAACGATTATAAACGTAATAATGGTTGAAATAATCAACATCGGCGGTCAATAATAGTAATAAATAAAAAAGGATAAAACTCTAGGCGTTGATCGATCTCTTAGGAATGCGCCATGCGTACGATTTGACTAGAAATCATAGAGGTGAAATGGACGGAAATTTGACTTACATGATCGCCTACCAACTTATGAAGTGAGGATTTTTTTATCCCTCCCCCCTCCGGAAAAAGTGTGGCGCCAATTTACCGACTCCGGAGAGGTGGAAGGCTTGATGTACCAAAAGCGCGAGATCGAACCAAGAACGATATGTGCATTACAGGACACCTATAACCACTCCGCTACACGCGTCTCGTTAATAATAGTGATAATAGTAATAGTTATAGTAGTCGCAGTAATAATAGTGGTATTTTAATATACAACAAGGACGTATAGCACAACTTTAGTGATGCTGATCGTCACGAACACAGTGCTGGTTCGACACTGCTCTGTGCTCGCCAAGCCTCTCATCTTTCCGTATAAGGAAATTGGTACTCAACTTGTCTGAGAAAAAATCACCCTCTGCAGTCCAAATGGGAACGCTGGAGCCTGACTATCTCAGAACTCAGATAGAGTCGACTTGACCGGCATTCTACGTTCGACATCCAAGATGAAAACCCTCAAGCAAGAACCGAAGCTACACGTAAAACTTGGAAGACATTCGTGGATGATGGATTCGAGGGACACACCGATTGTGAGTAGTGCAAGGACGCCCACAATAGTGAAAGACGGGTCATATAAAATAAATAAAAACATTAATATTCAACAGTAGTATTGATAATATGTAATAAGTAGAAGTGCTAATAATGTGCATAAATGTAGCAATAGTATATAATGACAATAATAAATAATAGTGGTGTTAATAATACCAGTAGTAAAAACAATAACACCAAAAATAACGTAACAATCATAATAATAACAATTAACAATAGGAACCATGGCAACGACAATAATAATAATAATGGTAATACTTACTTACTTAGATACTTGGATTGCTCCTCTTCACCGATTGTGTGAGCCACAGCATAATTTTCATTGTTCTGGAGTTTTGCAGGTTTAGCCATTCCAGACCAAGGTCTGCCTCAGGCCGTCACCATCATTCGCAGCACTTGTGGATCTGAGGATGCTGTGCCACCATGCGACTAGTCTGATACCAGAATGGTGGTGGACCCTGGTACTGGCTTAATCTTAGCTGGCCTTCTTGATGAAAACGCCGGACTCCTTCTCAGCTTGGGAGGACCTGCTAGAGGGATGAATCTCCTTGCTGTGCATCGCAGTGCGACGCCCAGGATCACCTTCCTGCCACGATGAGGCGGCAAACTATTGGGAGGAATAACGATAATAATGATAACGATACTCATAGCAGTATTGATAATGATAATAACAATAATATATTAAGTAGATTTTAATGGCTAATTCTTTCATCATCGCTTAAGAGTTTTTTTTATGCGGCACTGCTAGCCACAATGGCATCCTTCTGTAGAATCACTCATGCTGAAGAAAAATCTACATTCGCCCACCGAGCTGAGTCTGTATCTATTCCGGTCTCCTGCCCATGACTACTGTTTAGCCACATTCGCTACAAAAACGTCTTCACATTTCACGATAGGCTTTGAACGAATAAATCTTTGTTGCGCATTTTTCATTCTTAAAGATTGAAATAAATCTAAAAAAGTGAAATTTTTCACTTTAAGTCTAAAAGTATGAAATATTTTTGAGAAACACCTTCAATTCCAATGGCTTTGTATCTGTGAGGTACCTTTTTCAAGCAATTTATCTAAGAGTCCAGACACAGCAAGTGATTGAAAGATATTACCATGACCTGGAGGATACCACCTGAAACACATGGTTGGCTCTGTTTAACATAAATGTAGGTGTTTTTAAGATTTACTGATCCGTTCATTATTGAAGAAACGCTCTATTGTCACTAAACGAAAAGGGATGAGCCATAGTGATGCAATCTAAAGCACCAACAAGAATTTCTTTTAGTAGACACGAAAATTACGGAGCGGAAGTTTCGTCACGAGCTAGAATACTTCATAAAACTCCCATGAGCAATAAGTCGATTCAGCAAATGAGCCTCTTGCTTCTACATGACAGAGTAACGTTTTACTACTTGCATATAGAGACTATTCACTACTTCAACGAAACCATGTCTTTATCAAATTCACAGTTCCACTCTTTTAACACTGGTTTTAGACCATTATTGAATATTTCCGCTCATTATGTATGATTCTACGGAGGTTCCTCATATAAGGGATCTCGAACCGGTTAGTTGCAAGGCTAAGTGGAACGTCCCCAGTTGGCTGACAGGAGTTTAATAGAGGACCAAAAGTGATTACATGTTTCCCTGAGACGTAAGTGCGTCCAAAGGACGGACTCCTTGCTTCTTTTCTTTGCGCCGATTTGGCGCATACTTTCTCTATTTACGAGGCGTATTCATGCATGTGTATGTGGGTGCATTCAAGTTTATACTGATTGTAATCTACCAGTCAATCAGCCCAAAAGACTGCAATAAAGTGACAGGGAAATATATGGAATGCGATTAGGAGTCGCCCAATACAATTAACCTCCACGACCAGTCTGGGAGAGACTGGCCAGCTACCTGTTAGCATACCTAGCCCCACGTTAAGAGCCCAGCAAGCTATACGTGGGCAACAAAATGCCAAACACAGTAAAAGAAACGGGCATCATTCTTATGACCTAGAAAGAGCCCCGATTCGGCAGCGTTGGGTAGGATGAGTACGGAGAGGCTGCTAAAATCTCAAAGCGAATAGAAGCTGCCTGGATCACGAAGAACTAAGGTGATGATCTGTACCTACAATGCACGTATCCTTGCATTCGAGAACACGATAGAAGACTTGATCATGCAAGCGAGAAAGATGAGGTACTACGTCATCGGCTTGGCCGAGATGGGACGACGCCACCCATTCAACGCCGTCTATGACACCGAAGAAGAACTGTTGATCGGAACATGCGACAGTAGAGGAGTCGGCGATGACGGCGTTCTCGTCAAAATGAGTTTATCCATGAACGATTTATTCAAACAATTAACAACCCGAATCGGACGTTTACGATTAAAAAGATGTGGATCAATACCGTCTTTAACAATCTTCGTCGTTTACGTGCCGACATCAAACAATGACGAAGAAGAAGTCGAAGCGTTCTATATGGACATGGAGAAGTAGCACAGAGAAGACCATACATTCTTCGAGGTCATCGTTGGAGATTTCAACGCCAAGATTGGACCAAGAAAAACGTCTGAAGAACGTCACATTGGGATCCACGGAATAGAATGGAACGAAAAGGGTGGACGGCTCTCTGAGTTTATCATGACGACCAAAACCATCTATGGTGACTCGCAATTCCACAAGCCCCACCCTCAACGTTGGACGTGGTAGTCTCTCAATGGAGAGTACCACATCGAAATAGACCACATCATAGTCAACCAAAGGTTTTCCCTAACCGATGATGCTGTTGTCCCAAAATTTTACAGAAATCAGGCCACCGTCCCTTTCGTGCAAGATTCTATTCCTCGCAGAAAGGAGAAAAAGCTGCTAAATTAAAAGAACGAAGTCTCAAAACCACTATAAATTGAGACTTATTCAACTCATTAGTCTGCTGTTGGGATCATGTCTATGTCGATAACATCGACGAAGAATACGATCGACTTATACAACATCATCAAGTTAGCGCTATGAAGGCTGAGGGTTCGAAAGTCACCAAGAGACGTCTGCCTCCAGAAACACTCGAGCTGATTCGCTAGCGTGGAATAGCACGAGCTGCATGCAAGCGCAAACTAACGTACTTACAAAAAAGTGCAGAGAGGCGATAAAAGAAGATCTTAAAGAGAGAAGAGCAGCAGTAATGGTCGAAGTTGCAGAGGCTGGGAAAAGCATTCGCAAAGTTCACCGCTTTGCCAATTGCAAGACCAAGATGACTGTACTTCGACGCCCAGATTGAACGGTTACAGCGTCCAGAAACGCAATGGAGAAAATTATTCACGAATACTACTCGGATCTCTTCGATAGCCACGTCCACCTTCCGCCATGTGCAATGAAGGAGGATGGATATGTTGTACCACCGGTTCTATCTTCCGAAATCCGACATGCCATTTCGTCAGAGAAAAATTGAACAGCACAATCTCCCGACAGGATATGATCCGAACACCTGAAGAACCTTACGTCAGTCCTCGTATACAAACTGGTTCGGCTCCTCACACGCCACCCGTTTGAATGTAAGGTTCCTGTTCAACGGAAGACCAGCAAGACCGTGCTAATGTTCAAGGAAGGTGACCTCCACGATATCGGCAACTATCATCCAATCTGCTTGCTGTCTGTCGTCTACAAACTTTTCACTCAAGGCATCCTAAACAGGACTGACAAAACACTGAACGAGGCACAGCTATATGAGCAAGCAGGGTTTCGAAAAGAATTTAGTACGATAAACCACATCGACGCATTAACGAGATTCACTGAAGTATCGTGAGAGTACAAAAGACCACTCTGTCTCACTTTCGTCGATTTACAGAAGGCTTTTGATTCAGCCGAGATGGAAGCAGTCTGGGAAGCCCTTAATAGTCAAGAAGTCTCTACTGAGTACATAAAGATCCTTCGTAAGTTGTACAAAAATTTCATTACCAAGATATCACCATTCTACAACGATATTAACATTAATGTCAAAAGAGGGGTTAGACAAGGCGATACCATCTCGCCAAAATTATTTACCGCCGCCCTCATAAACGTCACACGAACATTGGATTGGGACAATATGGGAGTGAAAATCGATGGTCGGCAGTTACCACATTTCGATTTGCTGAACACATCGTCCTTATAGCACCAAACATTGGCCAAGCGGAACGTATGTTTGCCGACTTTGATAAAACGTGTGGAAAGAGTGATCCTCTTCTAAATCTCACAAAAACGACGTTTATGAAGAACGGTATGGTTTCGAATGCCCCATTCATGCTCAACGGAACGAATATCTCCGAATGCTCCAGCTATGCCTATAATGGCTACTAACACAAAATGGTTTCGAAAGCCAAGCAGTAAGAATATAGTTGTTCATTACCTCTCCTCTCATCCCTCACACACTAAAAGGGTGCTTATAAGAAATATGTTTCGAACCGCTGCCAGCGTGTGCACAGGTACATCAGAGGGAAGATTCCTCGGAAGTGGCGCGCCAAATAGCCATCTCAAATGGTTGCGAGACTGTAGCTCCTCGGTATAAGCATAGAGGAAGAACCACGCCCCAGAGCGACAATTCTAGCTAACACGAGGCTCCGTTGCTCTTGCCCTTTATTTCAAACGAAATAAGTGCAGCTATTAAACGTTGATTAATAAGGGCCGGACTAGCGAATTCCGTAAGAGTGATAGAAATATCGTCGGACACTCTACGACGCCAGTTAGTTCGCAACCGCCCATATGACCGTCTATGTATAACGAAAAACTGCATAATTTTTCGTAGAGAGTGTGATTGCATGAGTTCGGGTACAATCTATCTGAGTTCTTGTAGAGAGTGAGAGGACGAATACGCTAGCGAGACAGGTAGACCGCTCTCCGTCCGCATAAAAGAACAACTAGTCGGTAAATCTAAATTAAAACCAAACACTCCACTAGGCGGGCATGGGATGCAGGAACGCAACGGAGAAGATTTTGAAGTAGGAGTCACTGTCCTAACGCAGGAATCGAAAACATCAGTGCGTAAAACTCTTGAAGCGTTTTGGATCAGTTCCAAAAATTCAAAAATGAACCGAGAGGAGTGTCTTGTCATCATGCGTGACCTGACGCCATACCTCATGCCAATCCAATGACCTGACGCAGACACAGTTATCGCTCATGTATACTCTGTGCCGCTGCTGTCCATCAACTAACTTAAATACTTACAAAAAATAAACGATAGCTGTTTAAATAAGGCTGTTTCTTATGCGAATACAAATTTATTTGTTAAGTTTTATCTGCTAGGGTTATGAAAGTGTTTGGCTGAGTAGATCGCATCTCAATTTGACCTTTCCAGGCTCTGAAGAAGACGAAACCGCCGAAACGTCAGCTATTGTATCCTAATAAATCCTATAATAACAACTTCGTGTCTGCTTATTGAAGAAAGACATCGAATTGTCAAGATATCACCATTCTGCAACGATATTGACATCGACGTCAAAAGAGGGGTTAGGCAAGGCGATACCATCTCGCCAAAATTATTTACCGGCACACTCCAAAACGTCATGCCAACATTGGAAGGTGGTAATATGGGAGTGAAAATCAGTGATCGGCAATTACACCATCTTCCCGTTGCTGAAACAGCAGCCAAGCGGAACGAATGTTGGCTGACTTTGATAAAGCCTGCGGAAAGATTGGTCTTCGACTAAATCTCACAAAAACGATGTCTATGAGTAGTGGATTGGTTTGTATGCCCCATTCACGCTCAACGGAACAACTATCTCCGAATGCTCCAGTTATGTCTGTCTAAGCCGGGAAATCAATATGATGAATGACTCAGCTCCAGAGTTGAGCAGAAGGAATCGAGCGGCTTGGGGATCTTTCAAGAGGATCGAAGATGTAGTGAAAAGAACATAGAACATCCGACTTCGTCACCACCTTGTCAACTCAACGTCACTTCCTGCGTTAACGTATGTGTCAGGAACCAGGTCACTGCGTAAACAGGATGAAAAATCACTCAGCGGTATTGAACGCGCAGTCGAAAGGGCGATGCTACGAGTAACCCGTTCACGCAAGTAAAGGAAGGGATCCAAAGTTCCAACCTACGTCAACAATCAAAAATCAAAGATGTCGTTCAGTACGCCAAACAGTCGATGTTAAGTTAGGCCGTACAGGTAATGCGCATGAATGACAACCAATGCACAAGAGCCATTAGTGACTGGATTCCTTGGGATGTTAAAAGAACTGCAGGAAGACCACCCACAGTTCAGAGTTCTCCGCGAAAATTCTCAAAAAAACATATTATGCTCAAAGAGTTCCTAGAGCAAGCAGAACCCGCTGGGCTACTCTTGCTGTCGACAGGGAGAAATGAAAGATTTCTTGGCTCCTGCTCGAGTCACTCGACGATCAACGGGACTGCAAATGATATAGGTGATGTATCGTTCAAATGCTGTCTGTTCCACATGCAGAAGGTATCAGTTTTCTAACATTTACTCCAAGTCATTAACTGTTGCTAGGGGAATAGCTGTATAAGATGTACTGATTTTTTCGTTAAGGACTCATTGTCTTATGGTCCCTATTCCTCGACAATATTGACATTATTTCCGCTCCTACAGTTCTGTGCTTCATCTCACATTTTCTGAAAACTACTGCTTGTTCTGCTTCAAGTAGCCAAATTGGCTTTTATTGATTATGAATCGAAAATCAGTAAAAGAAATCTTCTCACGCTTGCATGTCGCCATTTTCCTCAACAGGTAGAAAAGTGTCGGCATAGATTCGAGGGCACTTCGACTGGCAAAATGTGAGCACACCGCTGTTCTGACCAAGTTTTTGAGTCGTTTGCTCATCCGTATAGAACGAGTTCATCAGTACTAGCGGAACATTACTTTTATAAGATTCGTTGAAAACCTTAAAATATTTTCTAAAACCATATCCTCTTAAGATTTATTGAGGATTATTAATTTTTTCCCACACTAGTCATGTCGGTAATATATGCTTACAAAATAAAATTGCAGGCGTAAATCTGTATGTTCTAACTGCTCTTATTTTCACTACCAATTGAGTCCCATTGAGCAAAGCTACAACGGTTTAAAATCCATTGCCCAAAACTTTTACGCAGGCCCGTTAGTAGTAAATGCTCGCAATAGCACCAGTAATGATGGTAATCATCAAAGTAGTAACAGTTTTGGAATACTAGTAGTAACGATTGGTAGTATTACTTTCTTCCACTGACTTTACAATTACTCTTCTTAAAGATAACCTAAAAGCAAAAGAAAATCCCCGAACCTTGTGTTGCTCTAGAGCAATATCAAGAAACGAGAGCTCTCCCTTCACTTTGATGAACGACTTCGGACCTTCACAGCCCATCGTAGTGCCAAGACCTCCATTCAACTTCACTATCACCAGCCGTCCGAGAATATCATTCCTTAAGCACTAACTAAAGTCTACTCAATACTGTCAAAATATTTGTAACATTAAAACACTCAATAACTATTAACGGCCTTCACATTGATAGATGTAATCTGCAAGCCATAACTTCATAAAATTATTATATTGTAATAATTGTAATAGAATTACAGTTTCTAAGAAAAGTTGTTTTGCAACCACACGAAATTACAACTAAAGAACCGGAAACCTTATCAGAATGTAACTTGCAACACCTCTCACGCACGTCAGTAGTCATCAACTGAATTCTTAGCGAACAACAGTGAACATTCTACTACTTCCTATCGCGTGCTAGACTTTCTCGATGTACTCCTCTCTTCCGAAAGAGGTGTAGAGAACGTTACTTTTATCGTATGCGGCTTTTAATTTCTATGATCACGCCCGATGGTCAGCGTTCTTCACGAAAAGCTTAGAAGAAAGGTATAATGCTCAACAAGTGAGCAGACAGAACTCACTCGGCTACTATTGCAGGCGACAGGAAAAAATGGAAGGTTTACTGGCGCCGGCTCGAGTCAGCCGACGACCAACAGCACGACAGGTGATACAGGTGATATTATTGGGCGCGTGTAGAGCAGTGCTCGGAGGGGCTCTGTAATACACATGAGATCGATCTTGGCGCTCCAAACGCACAAGGCCTCTCATCCCTCCGAGGTCGCCAAATTGCTAGCAGACTTTTCTAGGAGGATAGGAGCACGGGCTCGATACATCGGTAGGCCACCGCATTGTATAAGCCAGATATGCATTCAATCCGCTCCAACGATGCTTAATGAACTCGAAGGCATGGAGCGTTCCTCAGAGATTGGTCGACACTGATAGCTTCATTTTTTACCCTTTTATTATCTAAGCCATGTAGTAGAGTACTAAAAACGTGCCCAAAACAAGTATTCAAATATTTTCGAGCTCCTACAACTGGAAATCTAACAAATCGTCACATCCTTGACCAGGAGACGAGTAATTTATCTTGAAACAAATCAGCACGAGATCTTTCGCTAAAGGAGACAGTTCACCTTATCAAAGCCAAATAGTGTTATTAGAATGAAACACACTGCTGTTAACATCAAAAGCGCATCAAATAAGACATGATGCTTTTAGAAAAAAAATAGGTTAAAAACTGCTAAACAGAAGCTGAAATACAAGACTCCCTTACTGGTGCATGGTACTAGACCGAGCCACGAAAACAATATTACTGCTCAATTCTATCGTCAGATTTCGTTGGTCATGTATTTTAATGTTAATTGATGTTAAGCGCTTCGGAAAGTATTTTCAACAGCAGCCGATTTCTGAGGTAAAACTACGAATTTTGGCTAAGCCTATTGGCTAGTGGTTCTTCCTTGTTGGTGCAGTCAACTTCGTCGGACGTTGTCTTCGTAGAAGTGGGTGGGTGCTTTAGAGAGTCATAATGACCTCTACAATTCCACCGAGGATAAGTCGTTCAGTGGTAAAATTCAAATAACTTTTCTTTTTCTCTTCACCGGACGTTAAAAACGGATAAAGGATAGAGCTCTTGGCGTTGATCAATCTCTGATGGATGCGCCATGCATTCGACTTCAGTAAGCATCGTTTAGAGGTGGTTGAATGCGTATCCGGCCTTTACAATGAATCGCTATGGCTTATTGATATATCGAGCCGGTGCTGCTATCCTCCCAGATAAATCGGGTACCAATTTACCGACTCTGGAGGAATGGAAAGCTTAGTGGGTCATGGGCGTAGAGATCGATTCCACGTGTGTGTTGCAGGGCTCCCCTGACCACTGCGCCACACGCGCTCTACAACATGACGCTAAGATTTTGAATGGAATCTTCTATATACACTGTTAGAAATGGTAGCTAGTGCACATTTACTTAGGTGTTCACTTTACTCCAGTAAAATTGCCAGTACCATTCACAACGAGGACCTTAAACAACTTATGCAGGACCAATGGGCAAATAGACTACAGTTAACTATTTTTATTCATGAAAGATGGGTGTACATCATTGTCAGTGATAAATTTCCTCTCTGAAACTAAGAATCGTTGCCCGAAAATGCATTATCAGGTGTTGCCGTTCAATTGATATTCTCAAAGTTTGTCATCGTGAGAACGTCTGCAAAACAGGCGAAGGGCTGATTTAACTTTACTTTTCTAATTTTTTTTGAGTTTTTTTCCACAACGGCTGTTACGACGATTTTCGCTGCCATCCACGCTATGTCCTCTGACATGGTGTGCTCATCTGCGGTAAATTCGCAGGGATACGGCACATAATAGGGAAGTAAGATTTCTATCCTTCATTCTACGCGACAAAACCGAAAGAATGTTTCCAACTGAGGAAATTGTCAATATGTTTTTTGGTAAACAAATAATATTTATAAACGTAAAAGACTACTTAACTTTGCGAAGAGGTTGCGGAAGCTTCAAACGATTACCTATCTTTTTCAAGAGTTGGTAGGTCGTGATAGTTACGTTGTACATCTTCCGAAATGAATTTCCAACTATTCCAATCAATGTAAGGGGTTTCAGATAGAAATTGGCGATAGAGACGACGAAAAACTTCGGTATCTGAGGAACTGGCCTAGAATGACAAACTTCTAAGAGGAAAACAATTTATTGTAGTTGATTAGTTATAGTTATATCAACAGTTGCAATATTTCGTATCTATTAATTCATTGAAGATTTGGATTAAGTTAGCGCTGTGTTTGTCTAGTTCAAAATTTTCAATGGAAAAAGCAAGAAGAAAATAGGACTGCCTTATCAGTGCGGGCGAAAAACTCGTCCAACTTTTTAAGGAGCTCTGCCTTCCTTTCTGACGTGATCTTCATGAGTGTTTCGGGGCGATGTAACTTTTTAAATAAGAAATTATGCAAGGTCTTCTAAAGACAAATCAGTCGAACAGAACGTAGAATGTACGGGCAATCGAACAATCATCGCAATCGCCGATTAATGTCAAGGGCAGAGGGTGTAAAACACCATTTCGGACATCGCTGTGACACCTTGTACTTTTTTTTTCATAAAACTTCAATTACGTCGACTATCTATTTATTAAGTGTATCCTTCTACATTATACACGTTACCACTTCCTTCAATACTTGATTGGTCAGGTTCAGGATTAGCGAAGAATCCTACAAAACTAGCACATTTCGCATTTTTCCTTTATCATTGAGCACCTTTATGGATAACTAATTTATTGGTTTCACAAGGCAAAGGTATAAAATACCGCACGAATGGATTGTTCATTACAGGGTACGTATAAGACTTTTTGCTTTATGAGACGGTGCAAATGCCGAGAAGAATTTCGATCTAAACGGACCCAATCCCAAGGTTCGACTCACTCTGTTCACCAAGTCCTGCCGCATCTCTCTAGACCAATTCACGGAGATCTTTTTTTCGGACACATTATTTTAAAAAATAATGCAATTTAAGCCGTAAAAGCTCTTGAAATTGCCAACAATTTGGAAACAATAGGCATAACACCGGCCTCAGAGCTCAGCGTACACGCTGTGTTCCATGTTGCACTAAATGTATTGCCAAAGATTATACATCTCGGCATTTTCATGTCTCCGGATCCTGAAGAATTTGCTTTGCTAAATGCATGACTCAACCCAAAAATTAGATAGCCCTAAAAATAACTTCACACTAGGTTCGGAGAGGCATGCGTTTCACGATTCAATTAATGAATGGCCATTTTTTAGACTGCCTTCTGAAAAGTAGAAACGTAGGTTGCTCGCACAAATAATTTGTATCAAGAGTAGGATTAGACCACGGTAATTTTTTCGCTAGGAAAGCCTTTCGTTCTCTAAATCATGACTACTTGCCAAAAAAGCAGTCATCTTGCTATCATCTTGCCTTGCTGGTAACGAGCGCATGACAACGATCAATTCCTAGAGAATATGGTATGTATTTGACTCTATTCGTAGCATAGTAGAGACGATATATCTGGCCTATGCAATGACTTGAAAATATATACCAATGTATCAAATCACCGTTTTTGTCTTCCTAGGTGGTGACACTTCTACTACAATTATAAGTTGAGCTTTCTTGGTTATTAACACGATAGGCAAAAGACATTCGTGTAAGACGACGAGGAAGCGTAGGATCGAAGACAAAAAAGTTAGTGAGTGTTTTATGGTTCGCAGACCGGTTCGCTATCAATCCACCAATTCCAGCAAAAGGTTGGAAGTTTCCAGGACAGTTATTAAAGAATTAATAAAATAAACTCCTGTGATTGTTTATTCTTGTTGAGGCTCTCACATTAATACCATGTTACTGTATTAATGAGTCCTCTAAGAGTTTAAGTTCAAAAACGTTGTATTACAGCTCGTAGCATATTTTATTGTGTTAAACTAACTATCCATGATCTTCATCCCAGGCAGCTACTACCGTTTTTAGATTATAAGCAGCGATTCGATATCAGACAAAGTTGATACCGACCTTCTTATTTCGAATGGAGGAGGGAGCGTGGTTTGCCTGGTTTGAAATCGAACCAGGGTGCTAAGCCTATTCATCGGAATTGCTGCCACTGTGTTATCCCTGACCTGTGAAAGGTATGAGTTGCATGATGCAAATCATAAAATAAATGTTTTGATTGGGACCTTTGTCAGCAAAAGGTTGTGATAACAAGAGTAACCACTTCTAGAGAAAAGTGTTGAAGCACGCTGAAATACATTCTGAGGATTTCGAGGACCTCGGAAACTATCTCTTGTTAACTGCCACGACCGACTTTCTATTAACCTCGGCATTGAAATCACTATCTCTTGTTAGTTGTTAGTATGATTTACCAAGTTGTCGTAGCGAAAACTTATTTCTTAGTGAGGAACGCGAACCGCCAGCGCCGTCTGTTCCAGGTGTTTTCTTCGTCAGCAGCAGGCGGTCGCTGTGAAAGAAACTAGTGCGATAAACACTTTTTTTCGCTATTTACCAAGTGTAGGATACAGATTTTTTCTGAGACCGCATGACACATTATCGCCATTCGTTAAACCGTGAATTGAATATAAAAAAGGGTAAATAAAGCTCTCGGCGTTGATCAATCCCTAAAGAATGCGCCAAGCATTCGACTTCATTAAGCATCGTTTGGAGGTGATTAAATGCGTGTCTGGCCTTTACAATAATTCCCTATGGCCTATCAATATATGGGACCAATGTTGCTATCCTTCCAGATAAGTCTGGTACCAATTTGCCGACCCCGGAGGGATGGAAGGCTTGGTAGGCCATGGGCGTGGGAACCGATTCGACGTGTGTGTTACAGGGCGCCTCCAACCACTGCGCCATACGCGCCCCAGGATTGATTATAAGAAGTATAAAAAAAGAATAAGCTGTCGGCATTGATCACTCTCTGCAGAGTACTCAAGGAATTCGACACCATTAAGCATTGTTAGAAATGATTGGGTGCACATCTGGCCTGTACAATGACTTGCAGTGGCCTATCGATGCATGGTTTTGATTTAATACCTACTACAGTGTTCCATGGCGAGGTATTATGTGAAATATAGCCATAATGGTGCAGAGGTATTTGCAAAACTCCGGACTGCGGATGTCTAGGGGGCGGGGGGAATCGAACTAACTATTACCCTTTCCGGAGCTAAAGAGTTCACTACCACACTGTGTGTGCCATTCCATTCGTTTCACCTTTCTCTCAGCTAGTTTTCTATATACCAGTGCCACCAGCAAAAACGCCAAAATAAACGACTGTAAAGAGTAAATGCATCACGACCAATGCTTTTTGACCATCTGCTCCTTAATAAATGCATTAAAACCAATGCATTTCCAGCGCAGCTGTTGAAACTATGCATCATATTTTGCTAGTATTCATAAATGATAATGTAGAATTTGTAAACGGTAAATCTCATCGAAGATTGCTCGTAGACCGATATATTTTATCACGATTACGATGACCTAATTCGAACACTCAAGAAATGCGTTCACCGAAAACACGTCCCCACTTACACTCGTCTCAAACGCCCTCGTTATTGTGTAGCTTAGTCCTTTTGTCTGATATTCCTAGGATACTTTTCATTTAGATTTGCAGTAATTTAAGCAATAAATGATGCAATGCGAATAGACTAATCAGCAGTAGCATTTTTTGTGCTTCTCCTAAAGGGAATGGTCTAATTTGATCATAGAAAAATATCTTCAATTTTAGGTATGGAGGAATCAAAGCAGTTGCAAGTACCGTTCATTGCGTCTGCTGTGTCATTATGTTGTGTTCTAACTATGGCTGTAGTTTTACCAGTTCTGCACATCCAGCTCGACGCAGCACAGAGCAGACTTCAAGCTCGTATGGATGCGTTCAAGGTGCGTTCTAGCAAACTACGAAGTCAAACTTCTCTGACCATTTTCACTGATAAGCTAACACAAGTTGTCACAAAAAATCATTCGGCTAATGTCACGCTACCTTCGTCCTCATAGAATTACTGATTTTTTGTTTACCATGTACGCGATGACGTGATCTCCATGGGAGTCTCACATAGGGAGGGGGTTATTATGGCTGATATGACCTTTATACTGGTCATTTTGTGTCTGGCGATTTTAAGCCTTCTCTACAGATCCGCTTTTTTCTCAGACCATTATCGTCTAATTACTGAATATTTATCGCCTATTGCTTGAAAACTAACAAATCCGTAACGGCATGAGATTAAACGCCATTCCAAGCCAAACACGCTCAGAAACAGATGTGGTCGCCTAACTGCTAAAGTCAGTAGTCAATCTGACATATACAATTCCTTAGCTGTTTCACCTGGTGCTATCTATAAACTATAGAGAACTACAAAGGCGTGAATTATATCCAGGTATTTTAGTTTCGTTTCTCTACTCTAAAACTGGGTGTGTGTAGCGTAGTGTTTAGGGGCGCCTGCAATGTAAACCTTGACCCAATCCCGCTCCCTCCGTGCAGCGTCGGAAGACTGGTACTATATCCGTCGGAGATGATAGCAGCACTGACTACATAGAGCACAAGCTCACCGCAAGTCATTGCATTATCCAAGTACTCATGTCACCTCATGCTTAATGAAGTCGAATGCATGTCGCATCCCTAAGGGTTTCATCAATGTCAACACTTTTATTCTTTATCCTTTATTATACCAGAACTACTTATTTAGAGATATGTTGTTTAAGAAAATACATCCAGCAGAGCACGACTTCAATATTATCAGATGATCAATTATAGTATACGGCTCGTAATATATGGAAGGACATCGTTCTGGTAAAAAGTCATGGACGTATTCGACGTCAAGGATATGGTACATACAATGGGTCGAATGATAACCAACAATGCACATCATGTGTGCAGTTACAATGTCCTCCTGGACCACCTGGACCACCTGGAGTAGATGGAGAGCCTGGAGTTGACGGCGCACCTGGACGCCCTGGTACGTACCTGACCTTTTCAAATACTTCACAAAAGCTACAAGATTAGTAAGGTTTTTATTAAGGAAAACCAGGACTTGATGGACTTGATGTACCTCTTGAACCTGAACCTAGTTTTCCGTGTGTGATTTGTCCAGCAGGACCTCCTGGAAGTCGAGGACCACAAGGCGAAACTGGCCGCCCAGGTCTTCCTGGCGAACCAGGCCATCCAGGTCTTCCAGGACGTCCTGGAAAACCGGGTCGAGTTGGAGATGCAGGGCGGCAAGGCGAACCTGGAGAACCAGGTGAACCAGGAATAAAAGGCCCTCCTGGCGACGATTCCATTGGTGGCACAGGAATCAAGGGTCCTCCTGGTCCACCAGGACCACGCGGACCCAAAGGGCCACCTGGACCTAACGGAATGCCTTCACAAAGTCCAGGTCCTCCTGGTCTAATTGGCGAAATGGGGCCGCCTGGCCCACCAGGACCTCGAGGAGAACCAGGACCTCCTGGACCGTTTGGACCTCCCGGAGACGCTGGAGAACCTGGAGGTCATTGTCCGTCATCGTGTGGAGTAAGTTGACATTTCACATATCGTAAATTTTTTCATAGAAATCAATTGTTTGCTTCTAGGTGCAAGAAATAGTTGCTCCCTCAATTGCTGAACTGGATACTAACGAGTACTCTCAGCAGAACTATCCTGGAAATAATGGTCGTAGCGCATACAGTGGAGGTTACGGAAAAAAATAAAGTGATCTTGAGAATTCATCGTTCTCATTTTAGAAATCCTTGACCCATGAAATAATTGGATGCACAAGGAAAAATCCCTACACATCATACTACTACATATAACGAGCAGATGACTAGAATTTTCATTAGTAGGCAAATCACCTGTTCGATAAATCTGATGGCTTTTTAACAGCTGAAATACTAAAAAAACGATGCGTTTAATGTTCTTTAGCAGAAATTTTAGTGCACAACATTAAAGAATTGAAAAGAAGTGCAGATATTTACAGCATCCATGGAAGCCATGCAAGATGTCGACTGATCTGAGGTGAAGTGAGGACAAAGTAAAGAATAAGTTCCCTCACACTTTAAATGGTTCTAGCCACGTGCTTTCTGGTAAAAGTTTCCTTAAACATAAAGCCACAATTTCATTTTTTGCATAAGTATAGTATAAAATATTTTTGCAGAGGATAACACGTGGGCCCGTAAAAGATAATAGCAGGTTCAAATCTGGCCTGGATTGATCAATCCCTGACGCATGCGCTTGGAGTTCGATTTCATTGAGAACCGTGGAGGTGAAATGAATGGGTAAATGGCCTATATTGTCAGGTTCTAAGTGTCAGTTCAATTTTTTGGAAGTATCAAACCAGTGTTTTTACCCTCCCAGACGAATCTGGTACCAATTTCTCAAACCCGAAAGAACGGAATGCTTGGTGAGCAGGGATTATAGGATCACACCAACGACCGATCACGTGTTTATTACAGGACACAACTAACCGATACAGTACACCAAGTCTACTATTGTTAGAGCACATCAGTAAAAGCGTTTTTATTCCTAAAGATGACAGAAATTTCATAACCCCTTTAGCTGGACTGAAATGGTCCAAAAGGAAAAAGTAAAAAACTACTCGAGAAGGAATTGGACCGAAAGACTTCCTACTTTTATGTGCTTTTGAGTTCTGGTCGTAAATGAGACCGACAAATTTCGGCAAACAGTTTTCTTGCGTCGATCATAACATTCCGCAAAGGTGTTTGAAATTTCCACGAATTTCACCACGATGACTTTGGTTTTCCAATTTTTTTGCGCATATTTTATTTCATCCCACCATGGAATATAAAAGTGGTCTAGCAGTATGGCTCTGATGAAGGCAAAGTCGACGAAACGTCATCCATCGAACAATAACAACAATAACAATAAAAACATCTATACTAACCTCGAGCCAGCTACAAGGGCAGTTCGTAAGAACACATATGTAGATAAAATTTGCTTAAATATGCCGTTGCGACGGTGATTTGACTCACGAAACCGCATAGACCAGCATTTTCAAATACGGATTGAAGTTTGTGAGCTTTTTAAGGCTGAGATAACTGTTTTATCATTGAGCCATTATTGCAGCGGTGAATCAATTCACTCTTTAGAAGCTTTTGCACATCTTCATAGAAAGATCGTTTCTGATAAGTAGTTCGGATTTAAAACAGAAAAGCAAGTGTGTAAAACCCACGACGACGCTTGCCTGTTCAAAAGAGGACGCCAACAAGATGGTTAAGCAGTTCTACGGCTTACGTCAAACAATTCAAACTCGGTACAAAACAATTTGATAACGGATTCAATTATGGTACACTGAACTAACTATAGAAAGTGTGGTTATGCAAATGGTATACGTAAGCTTGATCCACGGAATTAATCATCCATGGACAGAGGCCTTGAGCAAAACGAAAAGAAATTGTTCTGCCGCTTGCATGACCGCTTTAAGCGTGACGAAAATTCTCGACAAAAAGAGAAGAATAATGGATAGCAAGAGTATGCATGCACACTACATCACCTGCAACATTGCCTACTGGGTCGAAAATTATTCCTATCGGCAAACTGCATTTGCGATCGTTAGTGGGATGTGTGGTCATGTATTTATTGTGAAGAACGATTGGAGTCTTTCTGTTAAAGCATGTGTCACATAGATAGGTGAAATGGAAGTACAGCGGTGAAGTTTCTAATGCATTTCGTTCATTAGGTGGACGAACTTCTTCGTCGTAATTGTTTTATCGGGGTTCAGGAAGTTCTGATCGATAAAACAAGCTGTGAACCAACAAACTGTTGTTTGTTACCATGACCTCCTTATACTGCAATTCCGGCTTTGGAAAGTGCTGCGCAGTTTGGCCTCGAAATAATCACTAAGCCGAACGACGCCAGTTGTCGTAGACAATCCATTTCTCATCGCACGCCAAAATAAGGTCGAGAAACGGGCCGTTCTGGTTTCGCAGAAGCGCTAGCGATACCTCAGAACAATTTCCTTGATTTTCATTCACTTAGTGCGCTTTCAACTTGTCGAATCTTCTCAACTTTCCATCATGTTGAAATGTCCTAAAACAAAGATGCTGGAATATGAGGAAACCTGGAAACCTCAGGTCGGTTTTGAATCCGCGAAGGCCTCCGGGGTCACGTGTTGTTCATCTCACCAACCGAGGCCCTTGCTATGACTGTCTCTCAGCCGGTCCTTATATTTTAACTTCTTTTAAAGTTAGCTGATAGAAAAGACAGAGAAAATGCCTAGGTTGGTTTGATGAAGAACACATGAGCCACCGGAAAGGTAATGGCCGGTTCAAAGCGCTCCCGAGGTTCCAGTTTCGCTCATACCCGAACAGAACATTTTTCTAGTTGTATTTCACGCAATACGCCCCATGAAAAAAGAATAGGCAATAGATAAAAAGTTCATCATTGTCCTAAAAGGCCGAGGTGTTTATATCTATCAGGAAGCCCAGCTAAGAGTAAACCGGTACGAGGATCCACTACCGTCCTGTTATCAAATTAGTCGCATGGTGGTAAACTTCACTCTGATCCACAAGGGCTGCGACTACCTGTAGTGATGATGACGTGTAGCAGACTTTGGCCGAGCTCTCTTCGTAACTCTGAGGAAAAACAATGGCTAAACCAAAAAATCTCCAAAGAATGGAGATTATGCCAGGGCCCGCACAACCATTGAAGTTGGGGCATCCAAGTATCCAAGTAATATCTCACTAGTCTCCGGAGACGTCTCGCCGCACTACTCCTGGGTTTGAATTCGCAGAAAGCGTTGAAGTTGCTGTACTGATATCTGAAGTTCTAACACCTTGAACTTGCCAACGACGCGCTTTATAATGTAATTTAATCATACGCAGCGAAAGTTCATAAAATGAGCTCACACTTTTGTGTGATAGTACGGAATTAGAAAAAAAACTGTTTTCAAAATATGTTTAATAAAAATCAACTTGTAAATTCAACGTTAACTCCGGAGAAAGAAATAGTATAAAACGTCAAATAGTTTCAAATCACTGAGCTCAAAAACATGGCAAGGCCGACCGTGCACAGCCCTGGATGGTGACCATCATTAACTAGGTGTGTAATATGTACAAAAACAGTCAGAGCTCCATCCTTAAAGCTATCTATCTTAACAACTAAAGCCTTCTGGAACGAGCGAGAAAGAAATGACGAGTATCTGTCTACCAAGTTGGGATTCTTTATCAGGCTCCGCGAGTGGTGGTTATTCCAGAACACGCCATGCGACCTTGCCTCACGAAACCGTCATGCATGGTAGTGGTCCGCTTTGAGTGTAATGACCGAAAGATCACTCAGCGTTATAGAACTCGCAGTCGAAATGACAATGTTAAGTGTATCCTGTATCAAGCGAGTGAAAGAGTGAGGCCGAAACTCTGACCTACAGTCGAACAGTCAAAAACCGAAAATTCAATTCTACACACCAAAATGTCGAAGATGAGATGAGCCGGACACGTCATGCGCATGAATGACAAGTTATAAATGGCTGGATACCTTGGGTGTCAAACGTACTCTAGGAAGGTCACAGTTCTTCACGAAAACTACGGATGTAAGATATGAGGCTCAACGAGGCCCCAGAGCGAGTATAACACAATGGGCTGCTCTTGCACGTTACATGAAGAAATTGAAGGTTTACTGGTGCTTGTTCGAGTCACTCGACGATCGATGGGAGGACAGGTGACATAGGTGAATATTTTGACATCGTTCACGACCATATGGCATGATGATTCCAATCTCAAAGATTTCCACTCCACTGGAAATGATCATATAGTTATTCTGTAAAATTATGTGCGTAAACTCTGGGAAGTTATCACCCTTTCGCAACAGCCGTAGTACTGAGTAAGAAACTTCCCAATCTTCCGTTGCAACTTATACAAAGCAGTATACCAGTTGCTCATCTGTTAGCTTCTACATACCTTATTATAGCGTAACGCTATCTTCATTGATGATGTGAACGATCCACCAAAGTGAGAAAAACGCATCAAAATCCCAAACCAATCGTTAAGAAAAAAAATGTGGAGATCACCTGATGCGTATCCATACCATTATTCAGTAATATCCTGTTAAGTTTTTGAAAGTAGCACCAAATTTACAGCGGCGGTGCCACCAAAAGCTGTTCGAGAAATTTAGTGTTATTTCCAATAACGGTTTGCTTTCATTTCTTACAATTAATTGGTAAAACTAGTAATAAAAGTAAACGCGTTCTAGAACTTTCATGGTTGACATTACCGTAGAACAGTTGTTCACATTTTTAGTCTTAACTAGCCAACTAACCTGCTATCAATCCTGAGAACTGCCCCTTGATTTTAGTCATGACTGAGACTACGTATCATCTTATCATCCCATCTTGTGCAAAAGGCACAAATCCTTGCGACCAAAAGACATCTCTTTCGAACATAAATAACCATCAAGACAAGGACTCATCAAATTTGCAGCTTTAGGCTTCTTTACGCGAATTTTCAACGATCATTAGCTAAAGTCCACCGACAGCAACTAGGTGAGCCTGGTTACTAAAGAATTCTGCAGGAATTCCATAGATGTCTATTCCATTTTTCATTAGCCAAGGAAAAGTTGTCGAACGACGAAATGGAAACAGAAGCTAAGTTCTATATAGGAACCGCAATATAAGAGTCAATCTCTGTATATTGAATTACTGGCGGATCCTATGCCGTAGCCAAGCCAGAATAATTACAAGTTTCTTTCAGTCAACACCACATATCCAGACACCCGCTGTGCTCACGTTCAGAAGTTCGCTAGTCATTCTAAAAAAATGTGCACAAAATAATGTGGCTCACTCTATGTATCACCTTCCCATGTTCTTAATGAACACTGCGAAAAGTTCCAAGTTGAAAACGAGATTAGGTGGTGTGAGGGAGCTACGGGGTTCCAAGCAGCGGCATTGTAACCAGCTAATCCACAGATCAGGGATAGTAGCAATGAACAGAGCTGGAAATTGAGACATGTTACGCAGCGGTGGTGATTTCTCAGCTGAACGAAGAAGCGTAGAAATGGAGAGCAAACTACGAAAGAGAAGAAGTAAAATGTCGCGCCATAAGCAAAAAAGACCTGGTCAACAAAGCAACAATCAGTATCTCACTTCCAAATATCGGCCAAGGCATTTTTTCAAACAAGGAATTCTCTGACAATAGCAAATACAAGGATTTTCCCTGTTCCATATACATTTGAACAACATTTCTTGCTTGAATCAAGATATTTTGATTTCATATTTTCTCATTGACCTAACACCTTCATCACTTACGTCCACTATCACAGAATATTACGAGTACAGCTACCTAAATAACTTACATAGATAGCTTCTTCCTAGATGTGATCCGTGGGCCAACACTCTTATTTATTCTGTTAGGCTGCAACTACCACTCATGGATATGAAGAACCTTGTATATGGGCTGTGAGTTCAGTCGAACAACACTAAGGACATTATACAAAGCCTTCTTGCACATCATAATTAAAGAAAGCTAGAGAATGAAGATATTTATTTAATACTACAAGAATAACATCCATAAAATCACCCGTCTCAACATTTCGCAAGAAGTTTTGTCGCTTCTTGAACCATTTCGCGTTCTGCCTCGTCGGAAGGGGTAGTAGCTAGTATCTTATTCAAGAACGACTTTGCGTTCTTCTGAAACGATTAGTAAGTTCGAATTTATCGGATTTAAACTTAAACTAGTAAATTTAAGTGAATTAATGTACAAGCCTAAAAAATTCGACGTGAATTAAGAAGTGAACAAAAGACGTATTTTGATATTCAAATGCACACCAGACAAAGAAAATATGGTTATCCACTCACCTTGTCACCTTTTGCGAGATAAATGCGTGCAATAAACATTAAATTCTCTATCCATTCTGGCCTTTCCTTATAAGCTGATAAAAAGTCTTCCAACGCCTCGTCTAATGTAGCAGTTGGCGGAGTGGAGTAGAAAACAGCGGCGGCCTAAGAACGAGAGATGATAGAAATGACCATAACAAAAGCAAAAAACCAAAAAACATGAGGAATTTTTGCCTTTCGCTCTATCCATGAAAGACTCGCAACAGAGTATGCATACCGCCCACGCATGTGTCTTAGAGAAAATTCCTTTCCGTCTACAGACAGAGCCTTGTCAAGCAAACTCTAAACTTAATAGCGTTTAGGCAATTTAACAGTAAAGGAAAAGATGATAGTATGGCGATACGCAGATCAAAGAACATTTCTCGACTCGAATTCTGCAACACCTACTATGACATCATCAAAATTACACAATGATGGCAAATTAGCCTATGGAAGTTAATCCAAACTCTAATAATTATTCCAACAACCATCGCATTTATTGAAATCTTCCCTAAAACATTTTTTTGGAAAATGTTTGACATGATCCCCATAGGCATCTTTTAAAAAGAGATAAACAAACCTTGAACTTCCCTCCTTCTTCAATTTTTTCTTTCGTTCCTAAATAATCCGTTGATTGACCAGTCATGATAGCAGCCCATTTTAAAGCATTAAAGTCGCTTTGGTCAGAGTTATGGCCTTCCAAGGCGAATTTTTTACCTCAAATATTGGAATTGTAGAAAGAAAAACAACCTATTGAAGAACCAGATGAGGTTGGTTCATCAGTTTCTCAACTGACATATATATATATATATATATATATATATATACATATATATATATGCAAATCCAACCCTGTCAGCAATGCATAATCATAGTTATGTTAAATATCAGTTGCTACGCAATAAAAAAAACACCTTCAAAGATTAGTTCCTTCTTCTTTGATTTGTCAGAAGTACGACATGCAAGCTCGTGACAGAACTTGGCGAGACGCCATAGAACCTCAGTGGACTTATCGCCATCATCAAAACGCTGAATTTATAGCTCCCTTATATTATGACATTTCAAAAACTTATTATACACTTTCAAACATTTATTCTTAGTTAGTTCCCGTTAGAATTGAAGGATTTCGTTACATTCGCGTAGGCGTGAGTCGATATCAATTCATAGCTGGCAGAGCAGAACAACTGCTTAACTTCTACCCACTTTTTCCCAGTAATTTGCTTAAAGCGCTTAAATTTACGGTTCTTTGTCAATGTGAAGCCGTTTTGTTCTAACAAGATGGAACTTCAATTTTCTAGAGGTAATGAAACGTCTTTTTTGGTCCTCTTTTCCTCTTTTTTACGCCAGAGCTCGCATTTCGAACAAGAAGCTCACACAAGAACTCGGACTACGTCCAATAGGACACCATGCTATTCTCCAATGTACTACCTATATTTGAGAATTCCTAAGGGAATGTATATACAGAGCTTTCAGGAAATATTTTCTCTTCGTTACAAATAATGTGCCAAATCGTCGTTCCCACCGAGCTAAATCAACACTACTTACAAAGAAAACACGTTATTTACAACGTCCTAAGAATTGAAACAAAACCTTCAGGTTATAGCTATTAGAAGTAGAAGAATCTGGAAGCTTCCACACTTTACCAACATATAATAGAAAAAAATGCATATTGAACAAAGCTAGTTCTTCCATAGAACCTCCGTAATATTCTTTATCGATAAATCAACGACTAACCTTTTTCAGTATATCAAAGCCTTGTCGCACATCTTCGCTATTGAAGAACTTATCGACTTCGGCAAAAGACTGAAATTTCTTCTACAAATTAGAAGTTCTAAGAAGGATGGATGGACGCAAAAGGTTAGGCTAAACTTTCTTTGTTTTTTGATAAGAAAAAAAGTTTGGTCTGCAAGAATGAGAACCAACTATAGTTCTCTTTAGTCAGTACCTGCAAGAATATTCAATATTTTGCACTGACTGGTATACCAAGGTTTCAAAATCTCTTCTCAATCATGTTTCTTTCATCGTTATCATCAGTGAGTAGTATTAGGAAATGAGGAAATCAGTGAAACTGTACAGAAATCACCTCTCTTAAATTCAAATAAAACTCACCATTCCTGTTATATAGTCTGTGAGTAGTAGGAAATGCAAGAACCCGTACGGCCAGATGAAGAGAACGTATGTAAGGGCGCTACTGATAACATGAAGGACAACATTTATCGATAAGAAGATCAATATTTTAGAATAGTCAAAACTCGAAAGAATAATGGATCGAGTAAAAATGATGAAAAAGTAAGCATCAACCGTACTACGTTAAGACAAGAAGACTACAAACTTAGTAAACAGAGGTATATGAGTGAAAAGGAATTAACCATTACTGAATTAGTGGTGATAAGAGCATGAACAGAAAGTACACAAACATTATTAGGTCATTCAGGAAGTTGTGGTGAATATGACAACTGATCGTTCTGTCGGAAAAAAAATATGTTTCCATTCAAAACAATCCATTAGGATAACCATATCGTTATGGAAGTGACAATAATTCGTGGAAATTTATTCTCGTTGAAGTTTAGAGTACCAGCGGGCAGCTTTAACACAGAGTTCATTTCTAAGCGGTTCCACAATTAATAAAGCGGTATGGATATTTTTAAAAGTGGTAGTCTGCAAGGTGAGGAGAATAGAAAAGAGTTTCACACTTTCACTTGTTCAGCTTCTGACTACGGATCCGTGAAGTAACACCGCGCAAGCTGGCGAGTAACAGGATAGATGACCTTAACGAGTGAAAGAAATAACGATTTGAGCCGCACAGATCACTCCTGTTGACGGGTGATTGTTGATAGCACCTTTAAAATATGGCTGATAGAAAGACGAAACCAAGGACGCGCATGCTCTGGTGGTGTACACGTTAGAACCAGAAAAGGGTAGTAGCGTGTTCGATCCTCACCGCAAACATCTGCGGTCCGAAGTTTTGCAAATATCTCAGCATCATTGTGAGTAAATTTCACATCATACTTTGCCATGAAAAAAGAACAGGCAGTAGATAAAAAGTGATTTCACTGAATTGAATTCTTAGATTACCTATCTTTGCAAGTAGTTTGGACCTCAAAACATTTTTCTTCCATTTCTTCCTTGCTTGGTCGGCTTCCATTATGATGATCTGTTACGACAATGGTGATCTCCATGCCAAAAAAGTCGTGATTAATAAATGGTCCCCATCGAAAACACAGCCAGTGTGATATACGATAAATACGCGTCCGCTCTCTTGTAGGTGATTGTCCTATGAGATCCATCCTTCTATCCTGAAGTTTATTCAGCTACTCCTTTCGTCCATCTATTGCTCATTCTTCTCATTAAATGAGCAGCATGTGTGCTTCGCCTTAAACTGCATTCTTCTGGATGTCGAAAATGCGATAACTTCCGCTGATGACGAAGGCGTAATCAGGCTATTGCACGCACTATTTATATCACAGAAAATAGTAATAAAATTCATGGTTATTAAAAATCTTGATGTGATTGAGGAGTAAACCTGTATCTCGGCTGCACAGCCCTTGGTTGTAATAGAGCCACTGAGTTGTTGGATTCTCTGAAATTTTGGCATGTGGCTTCACTGCTGTCTGAGCAGTTTCTCCGTATCGTTTAACCCAGGCAAACGTATTTTCGCCTGTCACCTGCATCGCTTGTAGTCTCGTTAACCATCGAGTGATTCAAGCAGGCGGCAGTAAATCTTCCATCTTTCCCTGTCGCGTGCAAGAGTAGTCCAGTGGGTTCCGCTTGCTCTAGGAGCTCGTTGAGTATCATACCCTTCTTCTAGGGTTTCGGTGAAGAACGCTGACCATCGGGTGTGATCATGGAAATTAAAAACCGTATATGAAAAATGAATTTTACCAATGTTAATAAAATGCTTGCGGACACTTAGTGGTTCTTTATGATCCTAGCGCATCTTTTCTCCGTGTGCACGCCTTTTTCTCGCTAATTGAGCAACTTCATTATACGCTGCATTGGGCAGGTGCACAGCTATGCCTAGATGGTGATACTCTGTCACACACGTAAATTTTGGATAAGAAAGCTGGATTGTATTGTTGCGAAAGCGATAGCAGAAAGCTAAAGTTGTTAGGTAGCATGTTTCCTTATTGGCTAACGAGCATTGTAAGAATTGCCTTCGTTTCGTCGTTGTCCAACGTTTTTTCGTAGTCGGCAACATAAAAAGAAGAGGAAGATAGCGTTTGGAACAAACTTCTATGGCCTCCACTAAAGTTTTAATCGATTGCTTAGCTAGTACCAAGAGCCAAGAGCTCATACGGTAAACTGAGCAAACAAACCAGGCAATAATTGTGAAAATCTCTTCGACCACCGTACTGGAGCGGTGTTACCAATCGCAAAATGTGTCCTATTGCTTCTAAACTGACGAAAGTCGACAATAATGTTATCTTGTCACGAAGCTGTTTCCCTCTTCATACTTCCCATTGAAACATGGAGTTAGCAGAGAAGAATGCAAGGTGGATTTTATGTATCGGGAATTTTGGTGCCCGAGAAAGCGATTGTAGAGTGGACAAGGTTAGCGTAGCGCTTTTAAGTCTGTGGTATAAGTGTTGAGATAAGTCTTCGGTTGTCTTTGCAAAGAACTCCAATGTATCAATGGACACGTGATTAACAATTCTAAAAAAAAAAACTTTCAAAAACTGAGGAGTGTTCTCTAGAAATTAGAAAGCCATACGACCAGGAGATCCGACCTTCCCTAATCCAGAAGCCATGGCATTTATAGTCACATATTTTCCTCTATTTTTTGGGAGAGGGAAAAAGAAGTAAAATTTAAGTAACCAATTTCTTTTCATTGCCAGAGCAAAAAAATTTCATAGGATGGGAAGTGCTTACACGGTCGTCACAGCAAGGCATTTACCGTTTCCAGTTTGTCTCAAGCCTGAATTTCCCGGTCCCCCAATTCATTTTTGCCAAAATTTCTAATATAGCATTGTTCGCAACAACTTTATATGAGGACTTATCGGTGCGACTACTTCGTCCAGTCATTGAGTAGCAATAGACGATGCTGGAATTTTTTTTGTCACAGAGCTTGAAGAGAAAGAGAGTGGCCATGCCAGATTAAGAAAAGTGGTTGGAGTCCAAATATTGATTACAGACAGCTGCTGAGATGACAGATAGATGACAAAGCCTACTCCACCTACGAAGAGAACTTCTATATTATAACAGTACATAAAAGAATGGAGTTAATCCCATTCAGAGCAGATAGCCACTTAGTGTTCACTTTATCATGTGAACTTTAGGTTAAGAAATGCTCATCGCAAAATTGTCAACTAACAAATTTTGACCTGAATGTTTGCTATTGTAGTCCAATAACTGCAATATTTGCCCATCTGTAAGATTATGAGACAACCATTTATCGAGTACCTCTATTTTTCTCCCAAAACCTTGCCTCACCGGTACCAGTACAGGAGACTATTCCCTACTTTTATTTGTTGACACACATTTCTATCTTCCCTGTATTCAACAGCTCACACCGTTCTGTTTGTGATCCATATAGATGAACTTACGCTGTATCTACACTATTGTCACGCTGAGTCAAGCAGATTATCCTATCTTTTACAAAGTATCACAGTCTTCGTCTGATGCACTTTTACGCGCTGACTCAGCAATACCAGAATGTAATGACTGTGAAAAACTAGGAACACTTTTTTCTTTCTGAAAAAACCTACAGTCTCAGCTAATATCATCTGCCAATTTTCGTGATTTCATCCTAGAAGAATTAAGATGAGCAGCGGCAAAATGAAGCCATATTTCCATATTTATCGGCAGTGTAAATGTCTGCCGCAAAGTGATTGCTGTCATAACTACACAGTATTGATAAAGTTCTTCACCACTGGCTTGTAGTCGACAAATTTGTCTGCTTGGGACCAAAACCACATATACACCGGTAACAAACCCTCATCATATCGTCGCTTTTTTCACGATACTAACCATTCCGAGACGTAACATTGAAAACGTCAGAATGCTCATTGAAGCTTAAAAAAGGATAAAAC